TCAGCAGGAGAAGTGAAAGGGCTCTATCCAGACTAACCCAAAGCCTGGTGTTTAGAGCATTGCTCTGGGAAATGAGAGATGTTGGGTTGAAATTCCCTCATACTGAGGGAGGGGCCTAAAACTTAGGCCCTTTACTTCTCCTGAGTGGGCACATCTACACATGGAATTAATAGGACTGAATATACTCTGGCTCAACTTGAGCTGGAGTAAACTAATCCTACTGCCACTCTCTACATGTGCATTTAAGCACAGTAATTTACTGTAAAATACTGCTTGTATCTGATGGGACTACCCAGTAGTGTAGTAAATTAATCTACTATGTCCTAATTGCCATGCATGTATAGATGGTACACTTTATTGCACAGTGAATTAGTCTGTTGTGCAGTAAAGCATCTCATGTAGATGTGCCCAGTGAGTGTTGCAACCTCAGGACTACTATGAAAAAAAAGGTAGGTAATGATCAATGAGTGAAGATGTCTGAACTTCATGCTGAACTTGATGTAAGCGCATAAGCATAATGGATCAGATCTTTTTGGGGATTTAGGTGAAGTATAGGGACTTCCCCAGCCCTGACCTAGATCATAAAGGAACATATGCCAGTGCCTAACATATCAGACTGTGGTGCTTGTGAGCATGTTCAAAAACCTAAGTCTAGGTGTTTAAGGATCTTTTTATACAAACATTTAGGTACTAAAGGATCCTGTGGTCACTGGAACAGAATTAATCTGAATTTCTTTTTATGACTTTAGGTGCTTAAATTCTTGGTACCATTTATTTCCTGGTGCTGAGATGTGGGACAGTTTCCAGTCCCAGCTTTAATGAATATTTAATTTGTTATGCAAACTGAAATGGTTTCAACATATGAGAGAGACCCACAAGATAATACCCGACAGGCCAGTAGTTAGGTCACTCTGATGGAAGATGCAGGCTAGAAGAGTTATTTGAATTTCAGTCTCTCCACATCAAGTGGATCCTCGAACGATTAAGCTAGGGGTGTCCAATTTATGAGTGCCACACAGCACACAGACTGCATGCTGCACTGTGCTGTCATGGCATCTCACTGGGCCAACACCTCTACACCCTGCACACTACATCATGCCACATGGGCCCCCCACCACTGCACTGTGTGGTGGGCAGTCATAGTTTCATAGTTGGTAGGGTTGGAAGGGACCTGAGGAGATCATCTAGTCCGACCCCCTGCCGTGGCAGGAAAGAGTACTGGGGTCAAACGACCCCGGCCAGATGTTTGTCCAGCCTCCTTTTAAAGACCCCCAGGGTAGGAGCCAGCACCACTTCTTTTGGAAGTTGGTTCCAGGTCCTAGCCGCCCTTACTGTGAAGTAGCACCTCCTGATGTCTAGCCTGAAACTACCCTCCGCTAGCTTGTGTCCGTTGTTTCTTGTAACTCCCGGGATTGCTTGGGGGAACAGGTGCCTGCTGGTCCCCCTTGACTAGTTTGTAGACTGCCACTAGATCCCCTCTCAGCCTTCTCTTTTGGAGTCAGCCCATAATACAGTCCTTGCTGTACTCTGCTGGTGCCCCCATGACATTGTGAAGGATCCTTGGGTGGTAAAAAAGAATGGCAAATCTGAAGAGAATAATTTCAATTTAGTGTAGGGGTGTAATTGTAATTTTCCAATGTTTTGATACAGTATCCTACTGAAGTATTATTTATCTAAATCAAAGTATTGTCTTTTAAAAATGTAATAAAACAGCAAAAAATAGGTAATCAAAATAATAATCTTTGATGTTTTGACCTTAATGGTGTGAATTAATTGTGAATGGCATCAAGTGTTCTCTTTGCAACAGAAAGAAATAAGCTTTGAAAATAAGGCAAATACCATTGGAGAAAGACAGGCTATCCTTCTTTTCATGCACATAAATATTTCTGGCAATACTAACTGAGAATGTTGTCTGGTTTATGAATGATATTTAAAGTGTATGATAAAAGTTAGTTCAAGATACTAGCCACAAAAATACTTGCCCCTCACGTTTTTCCTGGATCATCACAACTACATCAATCCAACGCTATTTAAAAAGTATAGTTTTTGATTTGTCTTATTTTTCCTAAAGCCTTAGCAGCTAAATTGTTTTCTGGTCTGAGCCAGGGAATTCAGTACTGCAAAGTGTGGCTAATTACTGTTTAATGTTTTATTAGTTATTAGAGGGCCTCATTAAACAGGTGCTTAAAAAAGAAATTCTTTTAGAAAGGTGATCAAAGTTCTAAATACAGTTGAATGTTGATTAGTTGGAAAAAAAAAAACAAACCAGCATCCTTCCAGTTTTTCTGGGAAAAATAAATTTTTCTGGGAATCTAACATTGTTTAATCAGCCCCAGAAAGTTTGCCACTAGACAAACTCAGAGAGCCAGCCACACACTGCATGAGCCAGACAGTGAGGGGGAAGATAAGGGGACTTTCCAGTTAACTGACCTTCTGGAGAACAAAATTCTACTTTATCTGAAAAGTGTCAGACCACTGAGCAGCAGGTTATAATTGGAAGGATGCTGTGTGGCTAGAACCAGGCTAGAAATGTAGGCTAAATTCAGTTCTGGACATGAACCTGGGTTAACTTGGACCCTCTTTTTCCATGAATACATTGAATAACCACTAATATTAATGTTATTGTCCTACTGAGCAAAATATTTATTTACCTTATGATGCAAGTTCTTGGCCCTTTCATTAGGAAGAATAACAGTTAATTAAAAGAATGTCATAGTTATCATTTAACTATATTTTTGCAGTTTTGTATCAGGTTTTATTTGTGAATGTAAATTAAAGTCATAAAAGCTGGTTGGATGAAACAATGCACAATTGCTTTTTTCAAATGCACAACTCAGTGTGGCAGTTCGTCAAATTTATTCAGCATCTCTCACTAAGTTTTTGAGCAACAAACAAAGAACTTCTGGTTGTTACTTAACCAAAATATTTTAATGGAATGCCGAGACATTTTTGCTGAAAGAGAGCTTCCAGTTTTGGGGGCAGACAGCCCATAATTTTCATGCTAAGTAACACTGTGTGGAATGCTGAGACTTATCATTGTTGTTTGCGATTGGAGATGCAGAACAAAAATGTTATAAAAATTAACTTGCTACTTACTTGTATTGAGAAGTAACAGTGCTTTCATACAGAGGAACTCCTCCTGGCTAACTTGTAGTCTGACAAATTCCTGCGGGAGCTGCCACATGGATAGACACAGTGAATAGAATGATGACTCTTTCATCCTCTGTCTTACACCGGGAAAAGAGGTAAAAATAAAAACAACTCAGGCACTGGTTCTTTTGAGTAAATACCTGGTTGCTGGGTGAATTACTACATTCCTTATCTTGAGAGAGAGAGAAAGGGAGAGAGAGGGAGAGGGAAACAGAAAGTAATAGTCAACTAATTCTGCTCTTACTTGGAAGTTGACAGGATCCAAATGAAAGGTGGATAAAAACACATATTTTTTAAAAAAGTAAAACATGCAACAAGGTTTAAAATTTAAAATGGATTTCTATGTAAATGTTCCTACTTCTTTTTCTTTCCATTTTATAATCTGAAACCTAAATTCTCTATGTGTATCTTTAATCAGTCTCCTTATTTCCAGTATAATTTCAGATTTTGAACTAAGAAGTTGTAGACTTAATTGGTTAGCTATATTGTAAAAAGACAAGTCCAGGGTCTCATTAACATCCTTACTGTGTGAACTGTATGAACTCTAAACAAAACTGAAAGAAAAAGACTGCTGTTGTGCTATCCTATGTAATGAACTCCTTCCATTTTTTTGAACTTCCCTAAGTCAAAAAATTGAAATGCTTTGACCAGAGATTTTGAAATTAAGGGGACTTTTGAAAAGCTTATCCTTAGATATCTAAATATGGGCCTTTTAGCAAATGTTGCCTTACTCCGTATGGTAAGATTCGTGGCTTCTTCATTAATATATTGCAAATCTGAAAAAAAACCTATTAATTGTTAACACTGAATCAAATTTGCTTTCAAGCAACAAAGAATATGTCACTAAGAAAGCTTTAAAATAAATTCTAGCCCCTTATCCTAACAAATATATGAAGTCTCATTGAAGTTAATAAGTCTAATCATAAGAGTACATAGCTTTATAAAAGTTTGCAGAACAAGGGACTTAATCTTCAATATATACCATATTTTCTCACATACAATATGCAGCTTCTCTTTAAAATTGGGGTGCATTTTTTAAGCGGGGAAACTAATTTTCCAATAGGAACACCCTGCTTTGACTTCTGCTCCATGATGCAGCAGTTGTAGCATTACTATTGGGCAGCTGAAAAAGTCAGTTGACTTAATGGGCACCTACACACATGCCTGATGCTTGCTCCAACGCATGTTAGTTAGCACATGTCGGAGCACACTCAATGAATTCCTAGTAAGCATGCTCCAGCAGCCTTAGCATCACGTGTATTCAGCATCCCCATGCTTAAAAATGGTGGCAGGGGTGCTTTAACTGAAGTTTGTTGAACAAGCTTTAGTTAAAGCACCCCCACCAACATTTTGACAGGACGCTGAATACACAAGATGCTGCAGGAGCTTTAATCAGAGTGGCTCCCAAGAGCTGCTCTAATTAAAGTGCTGCTGCTGCCCTCCTCCCTGCCACCCCACCCTTCCCAAACTCATGTAAAGATGCCCAGTGGTCCACACTTCTTCACTTCACAGGTATTAACAATTGACTCTCCTTTTTAATGTTCTTGATAGTTCGACTAATCAAGCTAATTTTTCTTCAGGAATTTTTGCTTTCTACTAGCTTCTTCCGATTTCTCTCCTCCTATTTCACAGCCCTGCAGACTCTTTACTATTCAAAATCATAGATCCACCCATAGAGGATCTTGTTAACTTAATCTTTAGTTAAGTAAGAAACTAAAGATTAAGGAACTTAATCTTAAATTAAGTAAGAAAGGGAGAGTGAATTGGCTGAAAATTCAGCTCTGTCCCTGTTCTATGCAGCTGCAATGCTAGAAAAACATTTTTTCTTCATTCTCCCTTCCAGTAAAAAGGTGGGTATTACATTCCAGAGTGTATGAATGTGAGAAAATACAGTAGTAAATATTTTTGCATGTACCAGTTTACAAAAATTCAGTGAAGATACCCTGCCAATACCTGCATTAAAAGGAACAATATTAATGTTACTCTATTAATTTAAATTTTCAATAGCACAACCTAATTTTACAAAGAATCACCTTATTCTAAAAAAATTAGATTATGAAATATGAAGTAAATTATGGCTCTGATGCCATCAGTGAGGCTTGCTACTGACTTAAAAGGAGATAGGATATCACCCTAAATAATTCCATCCTAGCTAAATGCACTCTTAACAACATAGTATTTTCTATGATAAACAGCTTTGTCTCAATATATTAAATATTTTCATTTTAATTTAAATGAAAAACTCCTTCAGGTGTGTTCAAAATCTGAAACACTGCACTCACTTTTAAATTAGTTAAATGTATAATTTTAGATATTTTGCTATGTTAGGATATTGATTCTTTTCATCTCTATTTTAATCTATATTTTTAATCTTTCATGTTTGAAATAAGAATGCATGTATGAAAGCATCATGTACGGGTGACCATGTTTTATAAGCACTAGTATGATGATGGTTTTGGCTGTATTTTTTGGTATTAGCAGAGATGCACAGAATAAATTCCAGTAGTGATTGTTAAAAAGCAATTTGGGAATTAATCTAGAAACTATCAGCTCCTGGCTCATTTCCTGGTCTGAGGCTGGTGCTGCTCTGTGCATCCATCAGAGTAGCACTAGGACTAGTAACTCTAGTTAAACAAAGTGGAAGTGACAGTTTGATTGCAAAATGCCACTTAGACACTGGTGCAGATGAAGACCAGGGCTAACTTTTAATGTAGTAAAAAGCAATGTACTATATCAGTTCTTCAAATCTTGTGCTTGCAATTCCCAGTGGCTAATGTAAATCCATGGGGTGAAACTCTAGCCCTACTGAGAGTTCTGATCCTGAATTCAACGGGGCCAGGATTTTAGCTGGGGATCCTGATGCATGAGCCCAGTGATTCTGTGGAGTTCTATTAATTTCAAGGAGATGCCACATGGGCACAAGGGGCAGCAGAGTAAGATCAGCGTCCTTGGGCCTGATCCACATGAAGACATAGAATTGCAGTGCTTAGTATTGTGACACTTTGTAGAATACATAGATAGCCCTGGCATAGCAACATCAGATTCCTCTTCAGTGCATGAGGAGAGCTAGGTACCTAACTGCTATTGTAGTGAGCCACATAAGAAAACTAACATAAAATGCTTCAATAGAGGGTTGTGCCTTAACCCCATCCCTCCCCACCCCCAGTCATCAACTGAAGTTAGGAATCAGAGCCCTTCTCATAAGTCAGCAGCAACAGTCTTTTTATCCTAATTTCCGAGTCCCATGCTTTGGCATGGAGTAGAAGCCTAGCTGGCTACTACTGTCATGACAAGAAATTTAGAACATGCCCAGGAGAAGATCTTTAGGCTCCTACTGAACTTTATTGGCCAAAGTTTATCAATCTGTAGACTTTAGGTACCTTTAACAGTGTGTGAGAGAGAGAGAGAGAGAGATCTTTGGGCTGGGAGCAGGGAGAACTTCCAAATATTTCTCTCACAAAAAATGAAGTTTTCAAAACCAAATATGACCTCACCAAAACTATTTTTAGTGAGCAAATTATTAATCCCTCCCTTCCCCACCCAACAAACAATTACAAAACCCTCCTCTCACTCTTGTGCCCTGATAATTCCATTTAGACTAATTTAGAGGGAATTCTGTTTTGGTGGGGAGGGGAGGTGGGGTGGTTTAACAACAGATTTTTATTTATTTATTTATTTATTTTTAACTTTTTCCCTGGCCTAAAGAAAACACCATCAAAATTTCTTTACATCTGGGTCTACAGAAGACAATGATATTAATGGAATATTTAGGATCCTTTTACAATCCTGAGGTGATTGATTTTTGATAGGATCAGATTCTTATCTAAATCTGAACACAACATAACAGTACATAATGCAACAACACCACAAAAATGTTGAGTGAAATTCTGTCACCACTAAAATAAATTTCTTATTGACTTCTGCAGGGTGAGTATTTCATCTATTATATTAGTAAATAGCAGAAAGTGCCAACTTACTCGTTTAGTATCAAATCAGGTGCAAAATATAACATCTGACCACTGACATGCTTATATGATCTCCATCCCAATGCAAACACCATTAGACTCATCCAAGAGTACTGGATGAGGGTTATCTGATCATCAATGTGCAAATTCCGGAATCCTGAAAACCAAATAAAATGTTAAAAGAATGTTCCAGAAAATATTTCACAAAATACAACTTGTATTTGTATTTTTGTGTGTGCTAGATATTGAATAAGGCTAACTATGCATCATTTTAAAGAAACTGAAATATGTAATATACTAGCACTTATCTATCCTGGTTCTTTTCATTGCTTGTCCATGAATTAAATAGTACTAATAAGTACTAACAGTAAATTAAATCTGGTTAAACTCTCATTGAAAATCAGACTACTACAAAACTTGGCTTTAATATCTGAAGTCCTCTTAGCTAAATCAATTAGGCTTTAAATTTTTCTTTAAGACCCATCATGATAAAATCCATTATACAGCAAATATCCATACATTTAACATTATAAATTGTTTTCAGGTGATTGTCCATTCAAATGTCAGATAACTATATAGAATAACAGAAGTTTATCTAAGTTTTTATGGACAAGTCAATAGGACCTAGATCTACAAAGGATGCAGTGTTGAAATGTTGAGCATTGTAGTGTCTAATTGTTATGTACCCACACATTGTCACAGAATCTCCAGCTATGAGTTAGGTGCCTGGGTTCCCTACAGGGCATGTGGAAGTATCCACAGTAAGTACCAGGCTGTGAAGTTACACAGAAGCTACACATAAACCAGTTAAAGTGATCAGAAACTGGTTTAAACCTGTAACAGAAAAGAAGTTCAGTGCACATAAACCAGTTTCAAGATGGCTGAAACTGGTTTAAGACAAACTTGGTAGAATGTAGTATCATAGTTAACTGATTTGGGTCATACTAGTTAATGGAATTTCTGTCCCAGACCCTTTCCTGGTTTAAGTTAAATCAGAGTCCCCCAGCATCCCAGCATGCTTTTCAGCCCTGGGTTTAGCTGGGCTGTCTGCTCTAGAGAGCAGAGTGGGCCCTATCACTCTCCTCCCTAGCCAGAGCTCTGGTTGGCTGAGAAGGAGGTGGAGACTAGAGGTACAGCAGCATCTGCCTGGCTTCCCCCTGCTCCACCCCTCACCTCACAGCTTGCTGCTCAAGCAGGGATTCCCTCCTCTCCCACAGCAGGGGCCCTAGCAGCACGGACCCCAGCCAGCATTTGGCCACACCACCCACATGCTAGCTGAGAGGTGGCTATGTACATGTCTCCAATTTCACTGGAATAAAGGCTGACAGAACAGTGTCCCCTTAGGAGTTTTTTGGAACTAATCAACAGGTCAGTTGGTAGCATTCCTCTGTTCTTCCTTATAAATGCTTTGGAATTGTTTATGAAGAGCTTGAACTAGTGAGAGAGGGGCTTTTGTTTTCTTGATGGGCTGATAAGCTTTATGTTATATAAGCTCTCTGCTGGCTGCTGGTTTACTTCAAAGGCTGCAATCTGTCAGTGTTCAAGAGGGGACAGGGAGAGGTGTGAGAAATGACCTGGTTTGCAATGCATGGGACCCGAGTTCCATCAATTTGTTGCAGACAGTATGAAGAAGCAGGGAAAAGGTACTGAAAAGCTCAGTATCATAAACAGGTGCACGCACTCCACAAAAGCAGTCCTCCCTCCCAACACCCCCCCTCTCTTTGCCTCCAAGTGCTAGCCATGGGCCAGGATCTGGCAACACTCCCACCCCTTGAGTAGCAAGTGCAAGAAAGCCTGGCTGCTTCCCCCTCCCCCTTCAGGCACACCCCAGCTGAGGACTGTGCAGGCCAGTGTCGGGGTTCAAACCCCTCCCTAATCATAGTGTCCTGCCAGGGCCTGGCCACGCCCCCCTCAGCTCATCACTGTAAAAGGGAAGGGAGGGCTGCTCTAGTGCCCCCAGATTCTAGCCTGAGACACTGAAGGCATGTGCCTACATTTCCCAAATCAAAAGTAAATATCTATTCACTTGCAAATTGGTTCAGTCTCTGCAGATTAGACTAACCTGCAAAGATTAAATCAATTCAGGCTCGGGCTTTTTGTATGTCTGTCCCTAGCCAGGGTGACCATAAGTTCTGGTTTAGCTTGGACAGTCCCAGATTTAAGAAGCTGGTCCCGGCTGACTGAGAAGACTTCTAGTGGGTGTCCCAGAAATGCAGGCGTGCAGAGTCTGAGTGGTGTGACCAGTGCGGACGCGTAGCGGGTGCATGTCCTGAGAGCACCGGTGCACTGTCTGTCAGGCCATGCTCCCTGTTTAGCTGGCAGGCAGGGGGGCAGGCGGGAGTGCTGATGCCCCCCTGCAAGCACCGGGGAGTGGGGTCATCAGCAACCATTAATGCAATCGGCCACGAGGGACCCCCGCCCCCTCGGTCACTATGATTTGGCTGCAGAGGGACACCCTCCTGATCAGTGGAATCAGCCTCAGTCACTGGCTGGTGTCAGGGGGAGCACGTGCCTCCCCTGGCTCAAGAGGCACCAGTTGCCCATGGGTGCTGCCCAGCATGCAAGCAGCAGGCAGGCATGGCTGCCTGCCCAGAAGGCAGCCTGGCTCCCTGACAGCTTGTGAGAGTCAGGGGTGGGTGTTGTGTCCTGGATATCAGGGATGAAAGTCCTGGTTGTCCCAGACCTCCTTATGGTCACCCTACTTACAGCTGCTAGTTAGGATAATTTCCTATGAGGTGGAAGGTATGAATTTAAATTCCCTTTGGTAGAGAAAAGAATTAAACCTTGGTCTCTCACATCTTGAGTAAGTGATTTAACTGCTGAGTTACTGGAAAGAAAGAGATGCATCACCTCAGGCTATGTTTTATTTGTAGGCTGATCTGTTAGACTTCTGAGAATAACTATTGGATCAAGCACTTCAGATGAGCCAGGTACAGGAATGCATAGTTTGTAAATCCTGATAGGGCATACAGATGAGATTAAGCATCAGTGCACTTCACATAATTAAGACTGAGGAATTTCTGGGCAAACTCTAAAGCAGAAGTTGAATCAATTAGTGCATTTTAATGATTAATATCAAACACACATAGACATTAGGTGTCTCAAGGGTTAGGTGGTAGGCACCTAAAAGATTTTTAAAATTACAATTTTGCATTTGGGCACTCATGGTGCAAGTTAGATGAGACCTATGCATATAAAATGTTTGGCTTGTAATCTTTTGAACTATCACTAGCTACTTGGCTTGGGTAGCTAAACTTCCCCAAATTTTTATTCTCTTTCTTGGGTTTACCCCTGAAAGGATGAAATAGAAAAAAAAATTAAAGGCTATGACTAGGTACTTACTTTAGGAATCAATAATGGTATTTTAATTACGTTTAACAAATATATGAGTGTTAACAATATTAATCGACATAGCCAATTTTATCCTCTTCAATATTTACATAAATGAAGTAACTATAATAAACATCCAATTGCAAGTATCCTTGTTCCATCAAATACATGGAAGGCATTTGCTCCTTTTGACTTTAGCCTTCAGCAATTTAAAATCAATACTTTCTCCTTGACACAGGACATTATTTACTAAGATGAAGCTATCTGAGATAAGAATTGGGCATTCTAAGAATTAATAATTAACCGCTAATTTAACTATCAATATTGACAGTTTTTGCTTCAATCTGTTGCAATCACTGGATTGTAATTTAATCTCAGAACAACTTTCTCATAGCATTTTCAGAGAGACTTTACCAGTCTTCTAGTAGGTAAAATCTTTCTTTCCGTCTAGATTATTATACATTGTGGTTTGAGAGCACCAAAGAGAATTATATCTCTTTGGTGTGCACAAAAAAGATCAAAGCTATGCCATTGCATAATGAATACATTTGGCTTCCTAACCCTGAAGTGTCTTCAGTAATACTGTTTATAAACCTCCCTGCCTTCAAGGTATATTAAACCAGTTTGATCCTGGAGTATGTGAATGCCTAGTTAAAGTTTCTAAACGAAAATTCAGTAACAACTGAATAAATGGTTAAATGTACTGATCAGAAGTAGGAGTATGATAAATATATAAATGGCAGATGATACATTAATTTCTGAGGCAAAATGGCAGAGTGCATGGGTGGATCTAGGATTCTGAAAAGCAAGGGTGCAGATGGTGTGGCGCATCATCACATATAACACCACACACATTTTTCTCCAGTTGGAAAGAAACTGAAAGTTTTGCTAATATGGTAGATGCTTACTGCTATGTTATTCAGTTTAAGATCAAAGCAAAAACCAATATAACTACTGAAGCGTGCACTATTTTGCTACATTATATTGTGACAAGGGGCCTCCTGGGGCCGAGCTCTGTGGCCCGCCCACCTGTCACCGTGACAGGGGGCCTACTCAGGGCAGAGCTCTTCATGGCCCGCCCACCTGTCCTTGGGCAACTGCCCACCTATCTCACCCGCCAAGCCTTTGATAATAATGGATTCATATATCGATGTCATTTAAGCGGGAGGCTGCCCATTGTCATGCACCGATGCCAGGGGGCGCTCTGCGGCTCCTATCCTCCCCAATACCGCAGCCCAAGCCTCGCAGATGGCATCTTGCTGTTCCTATCTTCACCAGCCCCACACTGGGCCCCAGAATCATCCAAACAGGACCCCTCTGTGATCCCTCCAATCAGGCGGCCTCTCCGCCTTCAACCGGGCTACCTAGCCCCCCGAAGCCATCTTACCCTCTCGGGTGTGGTCCCCCGCCAGGACCTTTGGCCTCTAGCCCTGGCCCACCTCCAGGCCAGTCGGAACCCCAGGCCCCCGGCTCTTGGGCGTCCCTCGCGGTGGGCCCCTGGCCCTTTTGACCATCCTGGTCCTGGTCCCAGCTTGGGCCAGTCGAGGGTACTCTCTCCTTCGGGCTGGGTCTCTAGCCCCTCACTCTATCCCCTCGGGCTCACCGCACCACTACCCCCTTTCTCCCGGGGTTCACCGCGGCACCACACCCTTGTCACTCTCTCTCTCTCTCGGGGTCCGCCCTCTGGGCCCCTCAACAAACACAGGGTTACCCACCCGGTGGTGGGAGCTAGGGGTTAAGGCACCCCGACCAGCCTTTCACCGGGCTAGTAACTGGCCTGGCATTTCCTGGGGGCTCCCGCGCCACTGAGAGCCCCACCAGGCCACC